GAGAGAGAGAGAGAGAGAGAGAGAGAGAGAGAGAGAGAGAGAGAACAAAAGAAAGAAAAAGAAAGGGGGAAAGAAGGAGTAGCTGGTCCAAATGCAGACATGTTCAGTGTGTGAAATACACACCAGCTTCCAAAGATGAAGTGAAAAAGGAAATAAAACAGCTCAATAATTTTTATATCAATTCTACATTCAATTTTGGGGGGCAGGGTCATTTTGAGACAGGTCTAGTATGCAGCCCAGGCTCGAACTTGCAGTACTTCTGCCTCAGTCTCCTGAGCACCACAATAGTGGGCTCGAGCCACCACACCTAGCAAAAATGACATTTGATTGGATGAAATAAAATCTGCTATTAAAATTAAAGTCATTTGTTTCCTTTTATGTAATTTAGCGAGTGACACAAGTGACCCACATTATATTTCTGCTGGACGGCTCTGGTCTAGAATATTTGTGTGGTACTTTTTGTAAATTGTTTTTAACTGACTCATGGACACTGCATATCTCTGGGGTACCTGTGCTTGCTTCCTATCACTTGTGAGGTGCTGGGAGGCAGAGCTACCCGGGATTCAGTCTACATTCCCTGGGATCAGAGGTGTGCGTGTTGGTTTTGTGAAAGAAAAACGAACAAGAGCAGGGCCCGGTAGACCACAGCCATGGGCTGAGTCTGGCCTGCCGCAGGCTTTGGTAAATGGGAAACCCACTGTGACCATTTATCTTCATATCCTCTGTGGCTGCTTTGTGTTACAGCTGTGGAGTTTGGCTGTGACTGAGCCCATGGGCTGCAAAGCCAAAAATACCTGCTCTCTGGCCCTGTGTGGAAGTCTGCCAAGCTTAGCCATGAATACAAAGACACAGGTATAGACAGGCACACACAGAAAGTGGGGCTGAAATTGGATCACACCAGAGTTAGGTGTGGTCATCTTCTCAGGCTCTTTTGCTTTCCTTCTTAGAACTTACCTGTATGTTCTGAATTTTCTGCAATGAATCTAAAATTTGGCAAGTCAGCCTCCAATGGCTCATTAATGTTTAACAGATTTTGTTAAAAAAAAAAAAAGAGAGAAGGGGATCTCAATAATCTCAAATGTGTTGCTATGAAGGCCAGGGTGCCACAGGCCATTTGCACTGTATGCATCAGGGTCAGGTGGGGAAGGCTTCCTGGAGGAGGTGTGCGGGAGCAGAGGGAGGGTGAGGAGCATGGGAGCTTGGCAGAGTGGTGGGGACGGGGTTCCCACCTTGTGTCTAGTGCCCTCCTTCCAGAATCTCACTTCGTACTGCAGATCCAGGGGGGGTGTGCAAGGCGGCAGCTGGTAGGTGGCATTGACACTCAGGATCTTCTCCCTCTGGGTGACCACCAGGACTGGCGGGCCCAGCTCCACTGGTAGAATGTGAACAGGACCTATCAGCGCCTTGGGTGTCATCTGCCCCCACCCTCCACCGCCCCCCAGCCCAGGGAGCTTCCTCGGAAAGGAAAAAGGCTCACTACGTTTGTCAAACACTTCCTGTGCACCCAGCGCCTTCCAGCTGCCGACCCTGGAGGGAGGTATCACAATTCCCACTTGAGAGGAGGGGAAACTCAGGTTACAGGGCTGACATTCCCGTTGCTGCTGTAAAAACGCAGGGCCTGTGACAGCACAGATGCTCTACTGCAGGGTCTCCAGTCAGGAGGCCAGCAGGTTTCCCCTCTTCCTACTTCAACGTCTCCCCAACTCCTTTTTGTGCCCTAACTCTTCTATCTCCAGCTGCAGGAAGCTCTCTGCTTTTATAGCACTGGGATTAGATTGAGCCCGTCTGGAGAATCCTGGATACGCTCACTACTTTAAAGCCTAGAACCTTGATTAAAATTCCTTTTGCCAAACAACACTGACGTCCAACACATTGGTGGGTCCGGGGCTCAGAGCAGAATCTGTGGAGGGTTTTGTACACTCCATGATCTTTCCTCAGGCCCCCTCAATTCATGTCTCTTTCAAATGGAAAATGCATTCAGCTGAGGTCACCCAAGATCTTGCCCAAGACAACTTGATTTCCAAACTCATCATCAGTAGCCAAATCTGATTCAGACGAGATGCTGGGTACAACCCAGTTAGCAGGATGCCCGGGCCACCATCCTCTCCACCTGTGGCACAGTGAAGCTAAAGGACAAGCTATCTGTTCCCAACATAAAAAGGCGGACAGGCACAGGATGACAGCAGTAGACATCGTGGTTCAAACACGGGGGAAGGAAAGGTAGAATTAACTCATTGCTCCCAAACAGTTTCAAAATCCAGTCACATAAACGCCAATAGATTGCAAAGCCTGGAGATAATTCTTGGCTCCCGAAGCTGCCTTTCGAATCAAACTTTTTTTCCCTTAAAGGCAGAAATAGCATGGAAGTAGTGATCACTTGCATCGTGCTAGTAGAAAAGCTGAAGTCCAGCAGCCTTAGATTCACAGAGTCTAAACTAGTAGTGTTTCTGCGGGTATAACGTTCTTAAGAACTTTATGGCTTTCTTGCAGGTGTCAGGGGCATCCATGCCCATAGTAAATCTCTTCTTATTGTATTTACGTATATCCTGCTATTGTGGTTTCTCTGGAAAACTTGGACTAAAACACCTTCCTCCATCTTTTCTTTCATTTACACTTGTTTTTCAGTAATCATCTAGCTTTCCATCCAGCCTCCTTCCTTTACATTTTTCTGTGGGCTCCTATTCCATGCTCTCCATACTTCTTTCCTTCTTACCCAACCAGTCTGTTAATGACTTGTATCTCGATGTCTCCCCACCCCACCCCGAAGCCTCTCGCATGCACAGATGGGGCTTTTCAGAGGTGGCTGGATGTGAGGGTGCGTGATACGGGATTAAGGGCGTATGGTAATGGATTAGTCTGCTAATTGGTTTACCATAGTTCTAGGTACGGATTATGGGAAGGCTTACAATGGATATGGGGTGGCACCAACCAGAAGGCTTGCAGCCTGGATGGGATAAAAGGGAAAGGGAAGCTTGATTTGCTGCTGCAGCCTCCTGCTTGCTCTCCCACAAACTGTTCTTCCCCCATCACATACCCCTCTGCCATGCCGCCTGGCCTTGCAGCTAGTTGACCATGGACCGAAACTCCTACAAACTGTGAGCTAAAATAAACCCTTCTTCCTTGAACTTTGGGTGTCGGGTATTTTGTCTCAGCAAGAAAAATAACTAAGACATGGTCTTCTTTCTTTTGTCCATCCACACATACTCTTCCCACCCGCACACATCCTTTCTGTTTTGCTACCCTTTCCTGCTGACCTGCACCCCCACCCCCATTTTGCCCTCAGATTATTTAGGGAAACAGGGGAAGCAAGTGGGAGCTAAGCCTTGGGAGGCCGTGTAATCTTCCTCCCCTTGTGACCCCCCTTTATCACTCTCCTTGCCCAAGGTCAGAAAGACCCAGGTTCACACCCAGTATCAGTCATTTGCTAACAGTGCATTCTGGAAAGTTATTCAGCTTCCACCAGACTTAGTTTGTGTTTCAAAAGTGATATGATGAAAACAAAATCACAGAATTTCTGTGAGGATGAGAACATATTTTTAAAATGTGCTCTCTTCACCCAATATGATCACTTGTGACTGCTGGTAGAAAGTATGTTTTTTTCTTCCCCCCCTGGATTTTATCTTCTTTCCTCCCCAAATTTGTATGGGGTACAGAAAATACTTTTGCAATCGGATTTTAAAAATATTTCTTTCCGTTTTTCTTTTTTTTAGGTCTGAGACAAGTGTTTCACTATGTAGTTCAGGCTGGCCTCAAACTTGTGGCTATTTTCTGGCCTCAGACTCCTGAGTGCTAGGATTACAGGTGTGTGCCACCAGGCCTGGATAAAACTAAAAAAATCACCTCTTAGAAAAGTTGAACATAACAAAAATAGGAATAACTATTAAGTGCCTTGGGTTGTTCATGGCCGAGGTAGTGCAGGCCAGGCAATAACGAACCCTCTAAGGAGGAGGTACAAGTTGAAGTTCCAGCATTAACTGGAAGCCTCTAACTTGCTACACAAAGTCAGGCTACTAGATAGAGCCCAGCCTGGGGCTGGTGCCTCGCACCTGTCACCTGGGCTGGCCCCAAAGTGAGCTGCCCAAGAGAGGAGCCTCTGTTTCACAGAGGATGGAGACAGATGGTGTGATGGCTAATTCTGAGCGTCAACCTCATATTGAAAGCTGTCCAGAGAAGTGGTGAGCACACTTCAGGGTGCATCTGTGAGATGTTTCCGGAGTAGCTTGGCATCTGAGTCGATGAGCTGAGTGGGGAAAGCCTGCCCTGAATGTGGCCGACACCACTGGGCCCCGAATATAACTAGAAAGTGGAAGAGGGGGAAACTGGCTTTTGCTTTCACTCTCACTTCCTGAGCAGGTGCATGTTCTCCCCAGTAGTGGGTACTGAATTCAGGACCTTTATACTGAACTACATTCCCAATACTTTTTTTTTTTTTTTTTTT